CCTTCCTCCCTCCCTCCTACCCCCTACCTCCCTCCTCCCTCCCTCCTTCCTCCCTCCCTCCTCTCTCCTTCCCTCCCTCCCTCCTCCCTCTCTCCTCCCTCTCTCCTCCCTCCCTCCCTCCCTCCTCCCTCCCTACCTCCCTCCTCCCTCTCTCCTCCCTCCCTCCCTCCTCCCTCCCTCCTCCCTCCTACCTCCCCCTCCGCAGGACGACCGAGCCAGAATGATAAGGAAGAATTTCGCTCGCTACATCAACCTCGCCTTCGCCCTCTCCTTCTCCAGGATCTCGCCTCGAGTGGCTCGTCGGTTCCCCACGTATCAGCATTTCATTGAGGCAGGTCGGTGTTGGGGAAGGGGAAATGAGGGAGGACGGAGGGGGAAATGGGGAGGGGGAAATGAGGGAGGATGGAGGTGGGAGGGAGATGAGGGAGGGTAGGAAGGGGGGGTGGAAGGGAGGGTTGGAAGGGAGATGAGGGGGAGGGAGGGAGAGACGAGGGAGGACGGAGGTGGGAGGGAGTGAGGGAGGGTAGGACGGGGGGGGGGGTTGGAAGGGAGGGGGAGGAAGGGAGAGGAGGGTGATGAGGGAGGGTAGGAAGGAGGGTGGAAAGGAGGGGGAGGAAGGGAGGACGGAGGTGGGATGGAGATGGGTAGGAAGGGGAGTGGAAGGGAAATGGGGGAGAAGGAGAAGGGAGGGGGAGGAGGGGAGATTAGGGAGGGTAGGAAGGGGGGTGGAAAGGAGGGGAGGAGGGAGATGAGAGAGGGTAGGAAGGGAGATGGAAGGGTGGGGGAGGAAGGGAAATGAGGGGGAGGAGGGAGACGAGGGAGAACGGAGGTGGGAGGGAAATGAGGAAGGGAGGAAGGGGGGGGGTGGAAGGGAGATGAGGGAGAACGGAGGTGGGAGGGAGGAATAGGAAGGGGGTGGAGGGGAGAGGAGGGAGAATGGAGGTGGGAGGGAGATGAGGAGGAGGACGGAGAACGGAGGTGGGAGGGAGGAGGGGAAAGATAAGGAGGGAGAAGGAAGAGAGAAGGGACAGGGAGAGTGGGAAGAGGAGGTGGAGGCAGGACGGGTAGGAAGGGAGAGAAGAGGAGGAGGAGGAAGGGGGAAGTAAGATAAGGGAGAGAGAAGGGGAGAGGAGAGAGGGAGGAGGGCCAGGAGCAGGGGGGGGGAGGGAAGATGAAGGGAGGAAGTCTTCTATTTTTAGATGACTGTGATATTAACATGATTTATTCTCCACAATCGGGTATTTTTACCAGTCAGGTCCCTATTTCTCTCAGATATCCGTGTGGGTGATGATTTTTGCCTGTTTCTGAACGTGTCGAGGGAAGTAATGTCAACTATGTTTAGCGTGTCCTAGCCGGCAGTTTTTATCTATCTATCTATCTATTCCAAGCGTGTCTTTCACCTCTCAGCGTGTCTATTAGTTTCTTTCCAGCGTGCATTGAGCGGCAATGCTATCTATTTCTTGCGTGTAGGAAAGGTATGAATGAGAATGAATATCTTCCCAATACAAGAAACGTATTTAACCGGTTTCGAATATAGCTCCGTTAGAAATACATGATATATCCTAAACTCTTGTAGTGTGAAGATATACATTCATACCTTTTCTACGCGAATACGGTACCGACAGTGTTGTTTATTATCAGTGTGCAATTGAGATCTTTCTGTATCCTGTTATTAATGCAACACATCTGAATGCACTATAACCGCCTCTGTTAATCACCAAGACTTAATTAGAATAACAAGTCCTATTCTCGTCAAAATAGAATGTAATTACTGATTAAATTACGTCACGGCGACGAATTTGCAATTGAATCTGCATCTCTCTGTCTCTGCCTCCGGCTCCGTCTTTGTCTCTTTCTCTCTCTCTCTCTCTCTGCCTCCGGCTCCGTCTTTGTCTCTTTCTCTCTCTCTCTCTCTCCCTCTCTCTCACTCTCTCTGTCTCTCTATCTGCTTCTCTCTCTCTCTCTCTCTCTCTCTCTCTCTCTCTCTCTCTCTCTCTCTCTCTCTCTCTCTCTCTCTCTCTCTCTCTCTCTCTCTCTCTCTGCTTCTCTCTCTCTCTCTCTCTGTGTGTCTCTCTCTTCTCTCTGTCTCTCTCTGTCTCTCTCTGTCTCTCTCTCTCTCTCTCTCTCTCTCTCTCTCTCTCTCTCTTACTCTCTCTCTCTCTCTCTCTCTCTACTCTCTCTCTCTCTCTCTATCTATCTCTCTCTCTCTCTCTCTCTCTCTCTCTCTTCTCTCTCTCTCTCTCTCTCTCTCTCTCTCTCTCTCTCTCTCTCTCTCTCTCTCTCTCTCTCTCTCTCTCTCTCTCAAATTCTCCCTCTGTAACACACACACACACATATGCACATATATGTACAGAGAGAGAATTCTGGTCCTTATGATGCTTATGTGTATCAATATATTTACCCTTTATGAAGATTTCAAATATTTCGTCCTTCAGTAGGTTACAGCAAATGTTGCAGCAGAGAAGACTTCAGCTTGTGATATTGCTATTATTACAGATAT